TCAAAGTATCAAAATTCTACTGGTATCAAATTCACTTTTCTACTTTCACGCATTCTTGCTCGAAAATTCATGAACTTGAATATGATGAATTCCTGAAGTGGAAATCGTGAAAAACGTGAATTTGTGAAGTTAAAATCGTAAATTCATGAAAATGAAATTGTGAAAGTGAAAATTTATGAAATTGAAATTTGTAATCGTAAATTTATATAATCGCGAATTCGTAAAGTTGAAACGATGAATAGATGAAGTTGAAATGTCACCAGAGGCCCTTCGTAATATTAGTAAGAAAACTTTATTGGGTGAATAAGAATCTTTCAGTTGATTAGAAGGAACTCTTGTATAGATATAAAACAATGTGTGACAAAGATTAATTTTGTACTTTACTTATAAAGAAATAATTAATCAGTTGGAAGGCAAACTAAATTTAAATCTTTTTGTTCATTGTCTGCATGTTCTTTATGACGTTGTTGAAAGGAAACTAATTGAGCCTTGGAAAATAAATATTTTTTCACCCATCTTTGATTGTTTTATTACATCTTTGATTATGCACCATATGATGTTACAGTTACCAGCGTAAATAGCATAATTTTTCACATTTGGTAAAATAAGTATGTATAAAATAATAAAAAGCAGGACGACTAGCTTTCAGAAGGTCTTTGGTTTTACTCAAGTGCCCGCTAGTGCCTGATATAATGCATGAAGGGGTACCTTTGGTCTTACCCAACCAGTACAAATTGAAAGTCTTCATATGACATTTTATAGTGTCAGTGAGTAAGCAACTAAAATAAACGAGCAGACAATCATTTACTCCAAAAAATAACATAATTTCCATTAGAAACTCAATTCCAAAGTAAATTGAAACATTAATTTTGCCTGATGTTTAACGATCTATTTCTTTTCACTGGAACATTGCATTATGCAAACCAATATTGCATTTACATTTGCATTTGTGCTGCCAGTGCATTGATGTTTGTTTGAATAAAGAATCAATTTTAATATTTATTTACGTTACAATTACAAAATAGCTTTGACCAAGAGGAAGCTGAAACCGCTATGTAGTATTTAATATTTATATTTTGTATTGATATCTTTTCAGCTAAAGTGAAGACACGAAGAGGACTTCCATGTTGCCTGTAGATGACTATTTTGCCTGTTTTTCTGTAATGGATTAGACAATTTCAGCAGATGTAGGAGTTTTACATAGGTAAGAATGTGCCAATATGACATGCAAGTAAAGGAATACATGTTTCTGTAGATTCATCATATAAACTAACAAATTAATAAATATAACCAAACAAAAACCAAAAAACAAGGCTACCAAACGAATGTCTATATTGTGAAAATTTCTAAAGTTATATTATATTTCGTATCATGCAACGACTGCTATTTTCATTACAAGTAATGGTCGTTATTGTTTCCATTTTTATAAATTTAATTCATTAAAACGATTCAAATATCGATCCTTTAGTCACATTATCTCAATACAAACAGTAAATCACAAGTTAATCACAAGTGTAAATGCAAAAATACGCAAACGCTTAATGGTTTGAATAAATTTCAGATTCCGATACAATTTGGGCAAGGATGATCCAACAGTTTCAAACTATGGCGCCATCGTTGTTTGCAATACTGCTGACGATAACAAATCTTTGCTCAAAAATGCAAAACATTCGAGCAGAGGATACGATAAATCCACCTTACATAATTGAAACGCATATAAATGGGCCACTCACCACCGACAACAAAATCAGATTGGAACCTTTAGACAATAATGCTATCTTTGAAATTCCCGTGAACATGCTTGAAATATTCTGGCTAAATAGTTCAATTCATTCTATTTCAATTAAATGGGCACTAGATCCTAATTATAACCTTACTGGGTTCGTAAAAGACTCGGTGGTAGAATATTTCCCAAAAGGTGGACGATTTACGTCACATCCTTTATCAAGTGACGTCAGAGAGTATACATTTGATAATTTAGAGGCTGGAACAATGTATACTCTTTGTGTTCATATGTTAGAGATATACGGTGAAGGAAATTATAGCTCGATTAATCATTCAAAATGTGTTAAAATCAACACCATAGATTATATACGCAGAGATAGTGTGGTGATAATGATAATTACTTTAGGATACTATGCATTTATGGGACTTATAGGGTATACGCAATGGAAACGTCGGCTGATGAGGATAAGAAATAATACAAAAAACAGATATAGCGAACCTCCAGAGGAAAGAAATGAAAATCAGAATGTTTGTGTAATGCGATGGCGTGATTTAGCGGAAAAAGAACGCCTTATGTCAAATCCCGGACGTTCTATAGAAGGAGATACAACATAGGTGCTGTCGATTTTAGGAATGTTTACGTCTCGTAGGACAAGAATTGTAATACACATGTACATGTATTTGTGTTTTTCAAACGAGTTTCCAAGATCTCTCTGTTCTGAAAGACAGTCAATGTTAACATTGCATACCTACGTTATATGTGAAAAATTGATTTGCACAGCATATTTTTCTTTTGTAACAAAAGGCATTATTGGCAAGTTAAATCTTTAGCATAAAATCAAAAGTGATGCAAGGCTTATTTTCAAAGGGATTACTACATGCAGATGTAACATGCAGAAACCGTTAGGTCAACAAGGTCAAGGTTGTTTAGAAAATGACAGTAAATAGTACCAGGAAACCTTAAAAATCAGTGTCTAGTTTGCCTTCCGTTATGATGAATCCAGTTGCTCTTCTCTGAAAACATCATAACATTTCATATGTGTTCCAATGTTTTCAGTTTAACACCCTTTTCGTCTTTGCTTTTCAAAATTGAAGTGCCCCTTGTGGTTGATGGGTTGCTTAATAGGATTTGCTCGTTTATCCCTACGTAATTTTAGGAGGCGACTAAATGGGTTCGAATAAATGAAGTCTATACATCTCTTAGCTCCAGAAGGTATGGTGGTTTTGGCCCTGGTGTTGCTTTAAGGTTGTAAAAAAAACCTGAGGATAGCCAAGATCAGTTTTCTTGATTCTAACATATGACATCAAACCAAACAAACAAAACGAACAACATAAAAAATGACGCACTCCAATTTAATGGATAGTCCAGTCACTCATTTCTCATAACAGTTAAAAATAAACACAATACCGTACTTCTGCCTTAGTGGAAAGTTTGCATTATTCAGGGCTTTACAATTGTACTACATGTATATTAACGTAATAAATGTAAAAGTAATTGTTTACGGTATGCTAATTTGCTTAAAATTTAGCATTAGAAAGGCGGTGCATTAGATTTGTTAAGTGTTAGTGCTTAAAAGTTACTGTTAAAGTGGACTTTAAAATCATTGCTCTTTGTAATCTGTTATTCTCATTGGTAAATGAAAGGTATCATATGTTTGTATTTGTATATTTTGCTAACTTGTTTCAATGTAAAACATTGTGTTCTCTAGTATTATAAATTACGAAATTATTAAGAAATAAAATTGATCATATTTATTGTTTTATATGATATTTCTACATTTAGATTTATGTAATAAATCATAATCAAAAGATTTATATGCAAGGCGTGTAATGTCTAATTAATACTTCAAAGTTGATAAAGTCATATAACATGAAAGCAACAAATAAAAACGAAGGACACATCAATTCACATCATTTTGATATCTAAACAAAGATTACATATCTCCCCTAACACATTTTAACATATTTTATTAGCAAACATCAACGCATGTTTTATCCATTGAGCATTTTAAGAAAAACCCCAATCGGTTATCGACTGTTGTATAGCTTTAGGAAAATGTAATAATGCTCAAGTAATTAATATTTTTTTAAATGATAATGAAGGGTATTGTGTTTTACGTATTGACAGTCCCTATATGAAAGGTCTTTTGCATCTATAGACCGATCCGCTTTGTGTGTGTTACCTATTGCAAATAATCGTTTATGTACGACCATACATAATTAAGTTGTCACAAATCTAACGAATTTATAATACAAAGCAGAAGTTACTCCATAAATTTACAGCGGCCGTGTATACAGTGTATTTAAACGTAACAATCTATTGAAAAGCGACAATTCAAACGTACAGTACTATAAGGTTACTTCATAGTTTTATTCTAGATCAATACGGTTTTTATACGATTTTAGTATCATTAAATGATGCATAAAGTCACCCTAAAATTATCTTTAAATTTTAATTCTCACCATTCATTCATTTGAATTCAATAGATTGTTATAAGAAAGCAAATATATTTGTTGAACTGTAAAATGAATTCTTAATATGTTAAAAAAACATATATTTAACTGGCAATCTGACATGAATGTTTATAACAGACCTCTATGCTACCAGTGTTCTCCCAGGTCAGTCGGCACATCCATGCCTTCACCTTAGTATCTGTACTGTTCGCTTTTTTTAAACTTTTTCATCTGAGTGATAAATGATTTGTCAAGATTGAAAGACAGACATGTATATTTAAAGGGATACTCAGGCAAATTAATGACAAAAATACTCTCTAATCAGACCCACTTGGGCCGGGTTAGAAAACCATCATTTAGTACTTTATAATTTGAAAAGATTAGTTCCTGTGACTGTCTAGCGTATACATTTTGAGAACATCAACAGAATAATGAAAGAAACATTTAAAACGAGATGGAGATTTTAACTGTGTCTCCCTTAAAGGTATAAAGGATTGAAATGGCTTGAAATTATTTATTCGTAACACTTCAAAATAAATGAATAATATTTAAAAAAATGTAACATATAGAGTCATTTAGCATTTTAGTATATACTATTATATATATCATATTTACAAGGATGCCACACATATAGATTATATATAGCCATTATACTCCATTATTAATCTCCCATGTTCATCAACACAATTATGGAGATATAATACTGCTAAGCATGGAAACACTGTTTTAATATGTTTCTGCGATTTATAAAAAAAATCCCCCACATTATTGGTATCACGTAGAGTTAGACTGTTATTCGCCAGCTACCTGCTAACAGTGGTATATTTTTGGATAAAATCAAGTTTTGCTATTCCGCTCGCTTGAAGTTACGAAACAATCCTCATTGGTATTTTATGATACATATCAATTCTGCATCGCATGCTTAGCTAACGTTTTAAAAACAATTTATCTTCATTGCAGTAAAAGGGCTGCCCACAAGTTGTTAGAATTCATTTCAAAACTGGCAGTCTTTCCCTTCAGTTACTTTGTAGTAAGGTAGTCGCACTACTGCAGTAATTATCGAATAAAATAACTAACAGGAAATAGAGCAAAACAAGTAAATTGTAACAACACCCCCCCTCAAAAGAAAAGAAAGAACAATAAAAAACCAAAACAAGAAAAAACACCAAAAAAAAAACAACAAAAAAAAACATAAAACAAGCAAACACCCAAACACAGCAAAAAACAAAAAAAACCAAAAAAAAACCAACAAAAACACAAGAAAAGCAACAGCAAGCAACAAGCAACAATCCTTGATAAAAAAACAACAAACACCAACAAGACGAACCAACACCTTAGCAAACAAAATCAAACAAATAAAAAGAAAACAACAACAAATCCTGCTTATCAATTTATAGATTTAAAGAGGAATAATTCACATGGATTTCTGATGCATTCTCCCTGCACGAAATGAAATGATATATTTATATGTACCTCTATCTTCAGCCCTCAGATGAACGCAGTAAAGTCAGCGAGTACAATTTCTTGGAAGTGAAAAAAAAGCAAAAGAAACTTGGTTAACGAAATATTTCGCTTCCATCCAATTATAGAATGAGAAATAAATACTAATCAGTCGCCCTCTTGGTCACAAGAGATTGACATGATTGAGGAAATATCTCAAGGGAATTAATATTGCAACTGGTAATGCGCTTTGATTAACGACAACATATGAACTGGGTATTTTATTGACTTCAGTTTACAACTCTGTGAATGAACAGTGGGACATTCCAAGTATTGAGCCAGTATTCATTACCTGCACATCGTCAGTGCGAGATGAATCTTAATGGTCATAACATCTGAAAGTCAAAATAACACAGTTATAATTGGTACTTTGAGACAACTGTGCTGAATGTTTTTAAAATAACGTTGGATAGTAGCGAACTTATGCTTTTTTTAAAGGCTGAATATGTAATGATTGTCAAATCAAAAGAATTAAGGTGGAATTTTCCTTCAATAAAATACATAAACAATCAGGAAACCCTTCAATACCTCTAATCTACCGGTCCGCTCTCTATATGTGTTTTATCAAATCAGGCGATTCTTTCTAAATCTTCTAATTTTAGAAACGAACGTCAACTGGCGCGTTATAAATAACTCTCGGGGCCATGTTTTGAAAAAGCCTTAACGGTGATATTACGCACTTTTCAAAGATGAAATAATTGTAATGCTTTATTTGAAACAACAATGAATATTTGGGATTTGTTTTCAAATAAAAATATAGCGGCAGGCCGCTTTTATACCATACATGTTCCTGATTGCATAACTTACTATACTTTAATACCATACATGTCCCTGATTATACAGTACACATCAGATGTGATGCAATACTTTTGCGATGCTCCAAATCAGATGTATCGCCAATTATAACACATATTAAATTACAAAATGTTCTTTATTCAATCAATTGACTATTACTTTTAAATGAATAATGGAAAACTATTTGTTAACACAATTTATGCACCAAGCATATTATTAGTTTTTGATTTCAATGAACATGAACAAAAATATTCAGCAAAACCACAATCTGATATATTTTCTTAACATATTAGAAAGAAAACCTTTAGTTAAACACAAGCTATTTTATAAATAAATGAAAACCACATGATCTGCACCTCGGGCTCAACACATGTTAGTAAAACAATATATGCATCTCATGATCTTGAAATATAATCATTTAATCATCATGGAATTAAGTTGAATGTTTATACATTCAATAGACCCTTCTTAATATTACCTCATACATATTCATAGATTTCTCAGAACGAGGGCTAAACAGGGCAAGCTCCAGTATCTGCTCTATGTTAAACATATCACGAATAATATGGCCGAAAAGATTTAGAGGATCTTAATTTATAGTACTGATAGTAATACATACTTGTTGAGAGTTTATATTTAACATTACAAAAATCTCTTCTTGGAGATAAATTAATCAACAACAAGGTTAAATTTTACACTATATACAGTGAAGGATGTACTATGTATATTCGCAGACCTGTTGAAGTGAATTAATGTTTATGATTAATTCCAAGTAATTTCTAATTATTCCGTGTCAAGTATAAATAACAGGTTATTTCTTTGCAACTTATTCAGACATTATCTGTGGCTATCCAGTAATTTTATTGCTTACGCCATTAACACATGTTGGTCAAGAATGAATTAAAGCAATTAACTGATAATAGATTGTAAACAGTTTGTATTGCTTGGGAATTCTTGGCACCTACTCTTCCCCTAAATTGAGCCATTGGGAAATAAAAAAAAAACAAATAAGTTTTTATTCCCTTTGTATTTGAAAATCAAAAATTTCGGATTACTGTCTGGTAACTTGTTAGCTTTACAGACCAGCCGTTACCAAATCAAAATAACAATTTTGTTTAGACCATGCACCACACCCCCGTCTTATAGACAATTTCAATGGGATTTTCAGTTTCTTAAAATGATTGTTGTTTACAGCAAATTGAAAATAATTTCATGTTAAGTAAACGGATTGTAAAACTTTATATTTTTTCAAATGTTTTTCATTAAAATTACCAGTATTAATAATACTTGTATATAACCCAAATTACAAATCATTTAACATGTAATTTTGCCAAATATCAGGTCAAATCTTTTAAGACCGAAGCTTTAAGGTATCAATAGCTTAAATTGCCTTTTGTTGTTTAGGTTTCCGCACTTTGAAATTGGTCATATTGTTTGAAAACCCACTGTACAGCTGATATTATAACAAATTCATTTGGGGTACATTGGCGACCCTTTAGAAGATGTTGCCTAAACTAACCAAAACCCCAGACATTCCATTTACTTATGGGGGACTGAACATTTGCAGAAAACATGTGCAGGACCTTGCAGGTCGGAGGGCATTTAGGAAAGACAGTAATCTAGCTTCAGCACTACTTTTAACATTCCAAGAAATATTCACTCAACATTAATATAATGCCCAATAATTAGAGGACAAAATATTAAATGATTTTACCATGTTGACATATTTCCCTGCAGGCTGTACCATTATATGTTTACAAGCACAATGTTAAAAAAACAAAGTAATGTTAAAAACGAAGTAATGCGATGATTTCTTTTTAATTAATTTTTATTTGAAATTAAAGACCACAAAAGGCTAAAACATATGGTCCTTTAAAATATGCTAAAAAATATATTTTGTCAGCTTGCAACATCTATCTTCTTTCTATCAGTCAAGCTGTTGTTTTGTTTTGCATTTGCTTCATAATAAAAGCTCTTAATGTTTTTGCTGACGTTTTAAACATTGACAACTGTAATGAATATACATATGTTGAAAATCCTGTTATAAACAAGATATGCAACTGTTATCATTTATAAACTTTGTTTGTATTAAAAGTTCAATATCACTGTTTATTTTCTTCCTCAGTTTTCTGTAATTCATCTTTGAACTGTTTGATAGTTTCTTTTCATTTGTTCTGCAACTGCCAATGAAGAGGTATTACAATTAAAGGCGATTCAAAATACCAGTTGTCAATTTATGTTCAATACTGTTACCAATGGAATTCCTGAAAAATATATACAATGTACATTTTTATTATGAAGTGGTAACAATATTTATGACATGTTCTAGAATATAATCAATTTATATTTTAAATTGCACTTACAATGTTTTTTTTTTACTGTAGCTGAACTTTATTTATGTGTAAAAATGAAAATTAAGTCTTGTGATCTACCTTTCATCTGCAAAAATCTTTCTTTAGTGTTCATCTTACTGGTCTGTTCCCATTACCTAAACTTTCAGTTGAAACCAACGAGGGTTACAATCTATTCTCTTCAGACATATATAAAAATTTGTGATCCCTTTAATCTTATTGTGTTGAAATGCCTTCAAAACGAGCAATATTGTTTTGTCATATTATTTTGATCTTGAAATGGTTATACAAAATAACTGTTATTGCCTTTTTTAGTTATAAAAATTGGGATTGATTTAGATTAATAAATTAGATTCTTGTGATAAATTTAAATGAAATTTATTAAAAAAAACATTTTATTAAGTTAATAAATTTTAAATGTAACATTTAAAAACAATTAGAAATCAGAATTTTTTAAGTAAATAAATAATAATCTAAAATTTTGCTTAGTTTAAAAAAGAAAAGAAAAAATGGAATTTTCTCGAAAAAGTTCTCATTCAATCCCATCTTTTTTCACAAAACCTTTCCTTTTATTTTAATCACATCCTTACGTAATTTTTTGAAAAAATTTTCCGTTTCATATTCAGATGGAATAAAAGAGTGGAACAAACAATAAAAAAGATTTTTCCCCCGGGAATTTTAAAACACTAGGGCTTTTCAGGGCAGACAAATTTTTTTGTTTAAAATTCAATTTTCCCTGTTAGCCCCTCTCTTTGGGGATGGGAAAGGGAAAAGATGCCCTTTAAATTTAGAAAAAGGGCCATCACACCAAAATAATGAAAGTTATTTTTACATAAACTATATCTTGTACAGTTTAGTATTTTAAAGAAATAACAATTTTTTTTGTAAGCAATTTCGATTTCCTATCCCCAATCATCTATTGATATTTACATTATTTTCAGTAAAGTCTGTAATGAAAGGAAATTTGAACAACTTTGCTTTGTAAGCAGTGTCGATTTCCGATTTTCACAAATCAATTCAAAGTATTATGTCTTTCATATTCTTATGTCTTTGTCATTGTCGGTTTAAAACCTTGCCTTGTAAGCCTTTGAAATGACGCTTAGCAGTATTTCTTTTCAAATTGATTTCTTTGTACAAGGTAGCAAAGAGAATGTATTTATTTTATATATATAGGGTTCTAATGCATGGCCTAATGAAGTTCCGGGATATTCGTTTTGTTGTTTCCGGCAGTTGCCGACGATTATAAGTAAAATAGTTATAGTTGTCAGAATGTGGCAGGAAATAAAGGAATAATTGTTTCACACTGACAGAATAACAATGACATAGGGTTCCTGTTCTTAACTGCATTGTGTCCTTGACATTGTGGGAAACTTAGCATTGTTGATAAATAGTGTAGTGTGTTGTTTTGAATTAACCTTCAATAGGTTAACATTTGTAAACATTCTCGGATATACTTGTGTTTTAGTTATACGTACATTTACCTGGAAATACTGCAGCTGTATGATCTCGATATGCCCATTCAGTTACTTCTCCTGTTATCGTTCTAATTTCTAACAGAAGCTTATTAAGTTATTTTCTACTAAGATTTACAGATCATTAAAATAGTTATTGAACGTTGGAGCATTATAGTGTTTTCAGGGAATTTTAATAAAATGAAATGTTTATCACGATTTGAAAGATAATATCGTACATAAACATTTATGTTTTACATTTAAAATACAATATTAATAATGAAATATCTATAATGAAAAACAAAAACATGAAATTCCTTTGAAAAAATGATTTTTTTTCTGATAAACGATGCCTGCACTAAATTGTGTATTGCACAGCATCATGACAATTAATCATGTTTCGTGAAAATATATTCCATGTTTCACTCAGACGAAAAGGAAATCCTCATAACATTTTAATAAATAAAACTTATTGCACACAAATCTGCATCGTTAATCAATAATCACAAGCAAGTTAGAATGTTCTGAAAAAATGAAAACTGTAAAGTATTTTAGAATATTTGCGTGTATCATTAGAAAAACGAATGGTCCTTAGCACCCGATATTTTATTTGTTTAGACTAAAATCATAATTACACTATGTAGTGTGTATCAGCATCAATGATGCATCTAGAATGTAGCATTTACATTTTAACGTTTACTTTAAATCCATTGCCAATTGTGATTGACCGATAAATTGAGAATTTCTGCTTTACTTGCTATTCAAGATTTATTCACGTTTCAATAGTGCCATTTGAGACATATTTTACATTAAATAGAGCTTTTCGTTTTTATTTCCACGCTAGTTATGTTATTCAAGGTTCATCCGCCTACAAATTATGCTTTTACAAAATTTATCTAATAACAAAAGTGAACAATCTATTATTGATACAATCACTACTTAAGCGCTTTATCAAGCAAGTTATATAATCAATGAATAACGATAGAAGGTCTAGGAATATGCACCATCTTTCATTCCTTTTTTATGAAGTTAATATTAGAGATAATTGACAAGATTACTATCTATTCATTATTTCTCCTAATGAAATGGTTTATAGTCGTCACAGACATGTCAGAGCTGTCCATGTAGTGTAATAAAAAGTCTGAGTGTAAATGTTCTTGCAAATATTCTGCTCGGAAACTAACAGATTTATTGCAGGCCAACTGACTGGCTGTTATTACATTTTACTATGATTCTTTCATAGAATAATTATGATGTTTAAAGTTACAATTTCTTCACATTAAATATTAATTTTCAAAGATTCGCGGCATGAATTTAGGATTTTGATTTTAAACGACACTTTCTCAACCTAACGAATTCAAGATTCAACTTACATATTTACGATATTCACTTCATGACCATATCTTCAGGAATCTATGTTTTTGAACTTCACGATTTCATCTTCGTGAAACCACGTTTGCACCGCCTCCGTGATCGAGGGGTTAGAGTCGATGACTTCTAATCCAGTTACCTCTCTGGCGTGGGTTCGATCCTCGGGATATGCTTTGGTAGTTTAGCACGGAGAAAGGTAGTCTAGTACTGGTGTAACTCTCTAGGAGCGATGGTTAGGAAACTACCCACCTAAATGACTAAAATACTGTTACGCATTCATGATCGTAAATTCCTGAAATTGAAATTCAGAACCCCTGAAATGGAAATCGTCAAAAACCTGTATTAGTGGAGATAAAATCGTAAATTCCTGAAAATGAAATTGTGAAAGTGTAAATTCGTGAAATTGAAATTTATAATCGTAAATTTATAAAGTCGTGAATTCGTAAAGTTGAAACGATGAATTTGTGAAATTAAAATGTCACCAGAGGCCCTTCGTAATATTATTACTCAGAAAACTTCATTGGCTAAATTAGAATCGTTCAGTTGATTAGACAGGAATTCTTGTATAGATATAAAACGATGTTTGACAAAGATTAATTTGTACTTTATTTATAAAGAAATAATTAATCTGGTTGCAAGGCAAACTACATGAACTAAATTTAGATCTTTTTGTTCATTGTCTGCATGTTCTTTATGAAGTTGTTGAAAGAAAACTAATTTAGCCTTGCAAAATTATTATTATTTCACCTATCTTTGATTGTTCTATAACATCTTAGACTATGCAGCACACGATGTTACAGTAACCAGCATAATTTTTCACATTTGGTAAAATAATTATGAATACAAAATTAAAGCAGGACGACTAGCTTTCCCAAAGTTTTTGGTTTTACTCAAGTGCCTGATATAATGCATGAAGGGTTTAACCTTTGGTCTAACTCAACCAGTACAAATTGAAAGTCGCCATATGACATTTTATAGTGTCAGTGAGTAAACAACTAAATAAAACGAGCAGACAAAGTAAATTGAAACATTAATTTTGCCTGATGTTTAACGATCTATTTCTTGTTACTGGATCAATGCATTATGCAAACCAAAATTGCATTACATTTGCATTTGTGATGCCAGTGCATTGATGTTTGACTGAATAAAGAATTTATTTTAATATTTATTGACGTTACAATTACAAAATAGCTTTGATCAAGTGGAAACTGAAACCGCTACGTAGTAATTGATATTAACATTTTGTACTGATATCTTTTCAGCTAAACTGAAGACACGGAGAGGACTTCCATATTGCCTGTAGATGTATGTTTTGCCTGTTGTTCAGTAATGGAGTAAACAATTTCAGCAGATGTAGGAGTTTTACATAGGTAAGAATGTGTCAATATGACATGCAAGTAAAGGAATACATATTTCTGTTGATTCGACATATAAACTAATAAATTAGTAAATATAATCAAACAAAAACCAAAAACAAGGCTACTAAACGAACGGCTATATTGTAAAAATTTCTGAAGTTCTGTATCATGCAACGACTGCTATTTTATTATTACAAGTAATGGTCGATATTGTTTCCATTTTTATAAATTTAATTCATTAAAATGATTCAAATATCGATTCTTTAGTCACATTATCTCAATACAAACAATAAATCACAAGTTAATCCTAAGTCTGAAGCCAAAAATAAGCAAACGCTTAATGGTTTTGAATACATTTCAGATTCCGATACAATTTGGGCAAGGATGATCCAACAGTTTCAAACTATGGCGCCGTCGTTGTTTGCAATACTGCTGACGATAACAAATCTTTGCTCAAAATTGCAAAACATTCGAGCAGTGGATACGATAAATCCCCTTTACATAATTGACACGCATATAAATGGGCCACTCACCACCGACAACAAAATCAGATTGGAACCTTTAGACAATAATGCTATCTTTGAAATTCCCGTGAACATGCTTGAAATATTCTGGCTAAATAGTTCAATTCATTCTATTTCAATTAAATGGGCACTAGATCCTAATTATAACCGTACTGGGTTCGTAAAATACTCGGTGGTAGAATATTTCCCAAAAGGTGGACGATTTACGTCACATCCTTTATCAAGTGACGTCAGAGAGTATACATTTGATAATTTAGAGGCTGGAACAATGTATACTCTTTGTGTTCATATGTTAGAGATATACGGTGAAGGAAATTATAGCTCGATTAATCATTCAAAATGTGTTAAAATCAACACCATAGATTATATACGCAGAGATAGTGTGGTGATAATGATAATTACTTTAGGATACTATGCATTTATGGGACTTATAGGGTATATGCAATGGAAACGTCGGCTGATGAGGATAAGAAATAATACAAAAAACAGATATAGCGAACCTCCGGAGGAAAGAAATGAAAAATCAGAATATTTGTGTAATGCGATGGCGTGATTTAGCGAAAAAAAGAACGCCTTATGTCAAATCCCGGACGTTCTATAGAAGGAGATACAACATAGGTGCTGTCGAGTTTAGGAATGTTTACGTCTCGTAGGACAAGAATTGTAATACACATGTACATGTATTTGTGTTTTTCAAACGAGTTTCCAAGATCTCTCTGTTCTGAAAGACAGTCAATGTTAACATTGCATACCTACGTCATATGTGAAAAATTGATTTGCACAGCATATTTTTCTTTTGTAACAAAAGGCATTATTGGCAAGTTAAATCTTTAGCATAAAATCAAAAGTGATGCAAGGCTTATTTTCAAAGGGATTACTACATGCAGATGTAACATGCAGAAACCGTTAGGTCAACAAGGTCAAGGTTGTTTAGAAAATGACAGTAAATAGTACCAGGAAACCTTAAAAATCAGTGTCTAGTTTGCCTTTCGTTATGATGAATCCAGTTGCTCTTCTCTGAAAACATCATAACATTTCATATGTGTTCCAATGTTTTCAGTTTAACACCCTATTCTTCTTTGCTTTTCAAAATTGAAGTGCCCCTTGTGGTTGATGGGTTGCTTAATAGGATTTGCTCGTTTATCCCTACGTAATTTTAAGAGGTGACTAAATGGGTTCGAAAAATGAAGTCTATACATCTCTAAGCTACGGCAGGTATGGTGGTTTTGAACCTGGTGTTGCTTTAAGTTTGTAAAAAAACCTGAGGATCAAGATCATTTTTTCTTGATTCTAACATATGACATCAAACCAAACAAACAAAACAACAACATGAAAAATGACGCACTCCAATTTAATGGATAGTCCAGTCACTCATTTCTCATAACAGTTAAAAATAAACACAATACCGTACTTCTGCCTTAGTGGAAAGTTTGCATTATTCAGGGCTTTACAATTGTACTACATGTATATTAACGTAATAAATGTAAAAGTAATTGTTTACGGTATGCTAATTTGCTTAAAATTTAGCATTAGAAAGGCGGTGCATTAGATTTGTTAAGTGTTAGTGCTTAAAAGTTACTGTTAAAGTGGACTTTAAAATCATTGCTCTTTGTAATCTGTTATTCTCATTGGTAAATGAAAGGTATCATATGTTTGTATTTGTATATTTTGCTAACTTGTTTCAATGTAAAACATTGTGTTCTCTAGTATTATAAATTACGAAATTATTAAGAAATAAAATTGATCATATTTATTGTTTTATATGATATTTCTACATTTAGATTTATGTAAATAATCAAAAGGTTCATTAATACTTCAAAGTTGATAAAGTCATATAACATGAAAGCAACAAATAAGAACGAAGGACACATCAATTCACATCATTTTGATATCTAAACAAAGATTACATATCTCCCCTAACACATTTTAACATATTTTATTAGCAAACATCAACGCATGTTTTACCCATTGAGCATTTTAAGAAAAAAATCAATCGGTTATCGACTGTTGTATAGCTTTAGGAAAATGAAATAATGCTCAAGTAATTAATATTTTTTTAAATGATAATGAAGGGTATTGTGTTTTACGTATTGACAGTCCCTATATGAAAGGTCTTTTGCATCTATAGACCGATCCGCTTTGCGTGTGTTACCTATTGCAAATAATCGTTTATGTATGACCATAAATAATTAAGTTGTCACAAATCTTTATAACGATCTTATAATACAAAGCAGAAATTACTCCATAAATTTACAGCGGCCGTGTATACAGTGTATTTAAACGTAACAATCTATTGAAAAGCGACGATTCAAACGTACAGTACTATAACGTTAGTTCATAGTTTTATTCTAGATCAGTACGGTTTTTATAAGATTTAAGTATCATTAATTGATGCATAAAGTCACCCTAAAATTATCTTTAAATTTTAATTCACACCATTCATTCATTTGAATTCAATTGATTGTTATAAGAAAGCAAATATATTTGTAGAACTGTAAAATGAATTCTTAATATGTTAAAAAACATTTATTTAACTGGCAATCAGACATGAATGTTTATAACAGACCTCTATGCTACCAGTGTTCTCCCAGGTCAGTCGGCACATCCATGCCTTCACCTAATTTTCTGTACTGTTCGCGTTTTTGAACTTTTTCATCTGGGTGATAAATGATTTGTCAAGATTGAAAGACAGACATGTATATTTAAAGGGATACTCAGGCAAATTAATGACAAAAATATCAAACTGATTTTATGAACTCAAATTTTGTAAAATCCCAGCATGAATTTCGGTATTAGATTTTTGTACATTTTGGGATTGATGCGTCAATATATCTATATATGTTGAACGAAATTAAGAAGCCGACAGAATCACCGAGTAGTTTTAAAACAAGTTATGTGACATAAAAAAAAACCTGGAAGTTACAAAAACATTTATTGTGGATATTGTATGATAGAAAAGGTCTAAAAATCTGGAAACAAAGTGATCCCTCGGAAGCATTATTAATCACAAAAAAATTACAAAAGAATTGCAGACTCGGTTTGATTGGGGTCGGGGTGCAGCTTTTGGCATATTCTTAAAGCCCCCAAAAAGTTAAACTGGGGCCAAATTGGGTTTTCTTTTAACCCCTTTTTTAAATCTGCCCCACGGGGGCCCGGGGTTTAAAGAAAAACCACCTTTTAAATTTATTTTATTTTTTTGGGAAAAGATTATTTTCCCTGTGCTTTTCTAGCGTTCCTTTTTGAGGACATCAACAAAATAATGAAAGAAACTTTAAAAAAAACAAAATAAATAAAAGATTTTGCCTTTTGGTCTCCCCTTAAAAGGGTTATACGATTTGAAAGGGTTTAAAAATTTTAAAAAAAGTGTTTTCCTTCTTTTTATTTTTTCTTCACTTTGGGTACAAACAACAATATTTTGGCATATCGTAGGGAACATCTTTGTCTTCCACTTTCCCTTATTGTTATGTTTACCGATCCAAACCAGCTTATTTTTATAAGAAATAGATGGCAATATTGTTTGATGCTTTATCATAATCTCCACTAGTATTTAACGGAATGTAAGATTTTGCGTTGAATGCTTGTTTTCCGTATTAAATTGTTGAATGTTTTCGTCTAAAATTAATCGTTATGGAAGTACTGAGATTGTTGTAGGTAAACCAAAGTTTACCTCCGGGTAAGATCATCATAATGCAGTGCAGTGTAATCTTCACGAATGTAACTAATGTTTACTGTATCTGAAACTGGTTATATGACATGACTGTGTATAGGAAATAATTTAATTCAAAGATTACACTGAAAATAAAAGATTATATTTCTGTAATGACATATTCTCAACCTGAATATTGGTTGTTATATTTTTTTTAATTGCACCAGGTATTGCAATTTAGTTTTTGAAATTTATGATCAAATTTATAATTCATTTTTTCATGTCCTATGTACTACAGAATTGTGCAACATTAACTTTGTTTTGAAAAATGTTTATGAGATGTAATCACTAACCAATAATTTGAAAAAATGACTTTAATAATTAGGTTAACAAATTTAATATAATAACAAAGGGATAACAATTTCCCCTGATATATTCTCTTTGACAGAACATGTTAAACTACATGTTGATAAGTACAAATCAGTCTTTGTACGGTTCACCTAACTGATACATGATTTTCGCAATGTTACCATATGTGCGATTAGTTTTGTACGGTTTAACGTTTTCATCGGTAAATGCACTAAACAGGTGGATGATTTAGAATTAACCTAAGACCTACACTCTATTTCCGGAAGCACGTTTGTTATATTTTATAAAAGTCGTTACGAATTAGTGCTTAGTTCTGTTATATGTAACTACATCATACTTATCATTATGTAGCATGTTATCAGGCTTTGTATTATTAAGTGGTTGATGCCGGTCATATTCATCACGTAATTTATTCGCCAGCTACCTGCTAACATTGGTATATTTTTGGATAAAATCAAGTTTTGCTATTCCGTTTGAAGTTACGAAACAATCCTCATTGGTATTTCAAGATACATATCAATTCTGCATCGCATGTTTAGCTAACGTTTTAAAATTCGATTTATCTTCATTGCAGTAAAAGGGCTGCCCACAAGTTGTTAGAATTCATTTCAAAACTGGCAATCTTGCCCTTCTATTACTTTGAATTAATGTAGTCGCACTACTGCAGTAAGAACTCTAATAAAATAACGAACAAGAAAATGAGTAATAGTACAGTCTAACAACAACCCCCCCCCCCCCAAAAAAAAAGAAAAGAAAAAACAACAACAACAAAAAACACACAACAACAGCTAAAAAACAATTACACACAACAAAACAACAACAACCCATGATAAAATAAAAACAATAAACACAAACAATACGAACCAACACCATAGCAAGCAAAATCAAACAAATAAAAAACAACAAATCTTCCTTATCACATATATAGATTAAAAGGAATAAATTACATTGATTTCTAATCCATTCTGCATAATGAAATGAAACGATATATTAAAAAGGACCTCCGTCCTTCGTCCTCCATCCTCTGACCGCCATCCTCTGACCTCCGTCCTATGACCTCCATCCTCAAACGTCTTCATACCTCTATCATCAGATCTAAGATAACCCCAGTAATTTGGTCATTTCGGGTACAATTACTTGGAAGATAAAAAAAGCAAAAGAAACTTGTTCACGAAATATTTCGCTTCCATCCAATTATAGAATGAGAAATAAATACTAATCAGTCGCCCTCTTGGTCGCAAGAGAATGAAATGATTGAAGAAATATCTCAAAGGAATTAATATTGCAACTGGTAATGCGCTTTGATTAAGGACAACATACGAACTGGGCATTTTATTGACTTCAGTTTATAACTCTATAGATGAACAGTGGGACACTCCAAGTATTGAGCCAGTATTCATTACCTGCACATCGTCAGTGCGGGATGAATCTTAATGATCATATTATCTTAAAGTCAAAATAACTCAGTTATAATTGGTACTTTGAGACAACTGTGCTGAATGTTTATAAAAATAACGTTGGATAGTAGCGAACTTATGCTTTTTTAAAGGTTGAATATGTTATAATTGTCAAATCAAAAGAATTAACGTGGAAAATGAAATTTTCCGTCAATAAAATACATAAACAATCAGGAAACCCCTTGATACCTTAATCTACCGATCAGCTCTCTATATGTTTTTTAGTAAATCAGGCGATTCTTTCCAAATCTTCTAATTTTAGAAACGAACGTCAACTGGCGCGTTATAAATAACTGTGGTGTTGTTTTGAAGAAGCCTTAACAGTGATATTACGCACTTTTTAAAGATGAAATAATTGAAATGCTTAATTTGAAACAACACTGAATATTTTTTTTTTCAAATAATAAAAAGGCTGCAGGCCAATTTAATACGATTGTATAACTTACTGTATACATCAAATGTGATGCAACACTTTTATTACTGTTGTTATATAAATGCGATGTGTCGCTATATAACAACGCATATTAAATTATTAAATTACAAAATGTTATTTATTCAATCCATTGACTATTACTTTTAAATGAATAATGGAAAACTATTTGTTAACACAATTTATGCACCAAACATATTGTAAGTTTTTGATTTCAATGGAAATGAACAAAGAACATCCAGCGAATCCTCAATCTGATATATTTTTTTAACATATTAGAAAGGAAACCTATAGTTAAACACAAGTAATCCTTTTATAAATAAATAAAAACCACTTAATCTGTAACACGGGCTCAACACATGTTAACAAAACAATATATGCCACTCAAGATCTTGAGATATAATCATTTAATCATTGAATTAAGTTGAATATTTATACATTCAATCATATTCACATAATAGAAGAGTATTTCTACATATCTATATAATCTACAGTCTAGTATTTAATGAAATACAAATTAAACCATTTTTTATTCGTAAGCAATTTCGATTTCCTATCCCCAATCATCTATTGATCTTTACATTATTTTCAGTAAAGTCTTCAATGAAAGGAAATTTGAACAACTTTGCTTTGTAAGCAGTGTCGATTTCCGATTTTCACAAACAATTCAAAGTATTATGTCTTTCCTATTCTTATATCTTGTTATTGTCGGTTTAACCGCCGTCACTCGCCTCTTAAGCCTCTAAAATTGACGATTACCTTTATGAATCAACTCATCGTTTAGCAGTGTTTCATTTCAAATTGATTTAGCTTTACAAGGTAGCAAAGAGAATGTATAATATGTACACC